TATTTTTCAAAAAATGGGCAAGTGAATGAGCGAACCTGAAAACTGACTGTTATGCAACTCTTCGTGACGTTAAAGATGACTGCTGAAAAAATCTGGTTGAATGAATTTTAGTCATTGCATTACAAAATATTTCAAAGTTTTAAAAATGACTATATATTAATCTCAATCAACAACATTTGACCCTCAGAAATTCCAGAAAATGATTTCAGATTGACAGTTAGAAAAAAAGAATCGGATCGGTGGCATTTAAACCTTATCAATCAGTCTTAAAGCACAAAAGTTCATTAAAACAGCCACTAGATGTAAATGTTGTTTCTAACACAAAATTTTTACAGAGTACTGTATTTATTGATAAAAATAACAACAATAAAACAAAATTTTCTCATAATTATCTATTTTGTGTTAGGTCTATCATGTGTCTAAGTTAATGGGAGTGTTAAACTGTATGACAGATATTTGTTGACATTGACAACTGTCCGTTTCTTAGAAAGGGCGACAACCAAGTTTAGCGGTGATGTCTATACGCCGTATTTCGGATATAGGTATTAAAGACGTTAATACTTGGTTCTTGCTCGCCATTATACGATAATGGCCCTCGAGTTCATAATGGCCTGCGGCCCACAGGCCATTATGCACATCTTCGGGCCATTATGACATAATGGCGAGCAGCAATCAAGTATTAACCTCGAAATAAAACTACCCCAGCAAACACATGACGTTAAAATAACGTCGGATTACCGTTAGATTTTGGTCACGACGTCGGCGACCAAAATACGACGTAAATCTGACGTCCAAAATCCGATGTCTATAAGACGACTCTTTTTGACGTCGTACTAACGTCAGGTTCTGGTCGATGTCCTGACGGTAGGTAAAAAATTAACAAAAAATAATCCTTTTTCGCTGTTGTAATCATTTAAACCTTTTTTTCAAATGTTATCTGGCTTACAAATTTAAGTGTATATATATATATAAAAACAAGTGCCTTTCGAAGACCAAGTGCGCGGCCTGTGACCAAATAAAACATACAGGTGGCGCTGTATATAGGCAAGTTACATGTGTTATTGTTATGAAATCTATTTATAGCCACAGATCTGTTTACGAGTTCCAATCATTTAACGTTATCATATTATTATTTGTGGTACATTATATGTATCAAAATCACGTGCGTTTAATAGTGCTCAACATTTAATCATAGTGACAGAAAAAGGAAAGAAAACATATTAATAATTCGAATCTACAGCCACGTGGATGGAAAATTCAAATTCGTAAGGACGTTTACGTACGTTTCTGCTACAGGCATTGAGTAAAAGTGAATAATCCAGGATCTCTAACTGTAACAAATACAAAAGTGTCAGCATAATCGATAATGTTACATTAAAATTTATCTTGTACTTTGTGATTTGATAAGAATAACTAGCATGATTCCGAATCATTCTTAATTTAATTTATGATGTATTTGCACATGTTGAAGCAAAATTTGCACAACAAATACGCACAAATTTGTCGATAAATAAAATCAATAATTTAAATTTGGCCATGTTTTTACTCTGCTCGTGAAGAGTTTATAACGTGTCTTTATCAGTACTACAAAAGAGAGAGGCTGTAGTTTCCATATTCTTGTTAAACTGCATGATGTTTTTTTGATCAGTTAAAATCTGAGAATTAGAGAATGAATTTATACAATTTCGAGCAATTTCGGACCAAGACGTTTCGGTCCAAAATAACCTCAATACGTTTGGTACCAGACATTTCGGCATTTTTCCCAATCGGCCCAATTTTTTATCAGAAATAAATTTTACCATCAATGGTGTTTTACACCCAGATTTTAATATCATTCTAATAAATGAACGGAAATAAAATGAAAGAAAACAAATTGATTGATTATCTAATTATGATTTTGTAATATAGAATGAGGTTTCATTTAATCGTCTAGTAGGAAAAATATTGTACCAAATACAATCAAACAGAACATAATTAAACTTTTTAACAAAACGTAGTTACATTAAAATACATTTATAATCAAACAATTTCTTAACAATCTTTAATTTGAAACTATGAAAAATTTAAGACTGCCGTAACTGTGTCTATTTCAATTAGAGTAATTAAATTTTCTTTTCGGGTAGTTCAAGTGTTGGACATGCTCTCAAAGGTCGGAGGACAGAAATACGTGATAATTGTAAAAAAATGTATGGGAAAGTAAAGATTTTTGTAAATTCTATTTCATACTATTAATCCATACTAAACTGGAATTTTTAAAGCGGTCTTTTTAAATTTCAGTATTTATGTTTACTTTAAATTTTTTGTTAAAGGTCACTTTTTAAAAAGCTAGCAAAGTCATTAAGTTAAATAACTTTCAAAATTTCTAAAGGGCAGATAAATATAGTTCTCCGCGTTCAGCAACGTATAGCGAAAATGAAATATTGTCTCAAACATAGCGTGACCAAAGACCGTTTTGTCTGTTATTAGGTCTATAAATAAACTAGTTATTTGATATATGTGGTCACTTCTACGAAGGTTTCTCTTACGGGTAAACATCTTACATTCTATTCAATTATATATTTTGTGAAAGTTTATATTTCTGAGTTTTTCTTTGAAAAAATAGAGATAGCACGTCTGGACAGAATTCCGTTAAGTCCAATATTTCGAGGAATAGTCTGCGAAATATGCCCGATCACCGGTATATTTCGTGCATGCTACGGATACACGTTTCCTCTCGCCAAAAAAAAAAAAAAAAAAAAAAAAAAAAAAAACGGCGACGGGGTTTTTCGAATAAGGCGGCCAGTATTCCGATGACTAATTATACATCGATGATATTTTGTTAATTCTGTTAGAATGTTTTACAAGCTACAATCCTATAATATAATAACTATTGATGTGACGTGCTATTTCAAGAAGTAATAGCTGATACATGTAAATCTATATGACATTACTCTTTACTTTTGTATGGGACATGTTTTCCCACAGTTAATTCAAGTTTATATATATACATGTACAGTATAGTTCACAAGTAAGCAGATAACATAAATATTTTTATCAATTACGAATGAATTTAGTTTTATTGATTCAATGCATTATGTTAAACAAAAATAAAATTAAAAGATTTTGTATTACCTGACTGCATAAACTGCTTCCATGTTACCTAAATAAATGCGCCTTCGTCAACGCAAAACTGTATATTGTTTGTTTGGTTTGGTTTAGAGGTGGTGTTTGAGACCCATAAAAATATTTTTGCTTGTTATTTTTCCAATTTCATTAATTTCTTTTTTCAGTGAAATGATATCACACAATGCCATGGGACATTCTACATATATCCTCCGGACAGACGAGGGGGTGGTGAGAGAAGGTCCATATATCTAAAGCATCACACCTCCAAAATTCGTGCTAAAATTCTCGTGGGTTTTTTAAAAGTATATCTTTGTGAAGTAACTAAAAGAAAGTAATTTATACGTTAGTGACAATTATTCAAAAGGAGGTCAAAAATATGAAAAATAGCACTAAATGTTTTAGTAATGCTTGTAGAAATATAGTTTAAAATACTGAAAATCTGTCATTTATTGCTTGAACATTTATTATCCGAATCTTTTAACTTTTTCTTAAATAGTATAATATTTTCTTATTTTGTTGATAAGGCAAACTTTGATAGAAATGTACATACATTGTTTTTGTTCTTTAATATTTGTATATGTTTTATTTAGTTCAATTTTATCATTGTTTTTGTAATACTTTTGTTTGTTATTAACTTATTTTATGCTTTATTTTGTTTAATTTATGAAAAGTATTTAGCCTTGCAGAATTTACTAAAACTGTATGTATCAGCTTTAAATTGCAACTTTTATTTTAAATAAAATAAACATAAAAACATATTTTTGCTTTTAGTTTTTTGTTATACCTTTCATTGGAGTGAAAGTAACTTAATATAGAATGAGTTACATTAAATTTGATCAAATCAGGATTGGCCAGAAAATATTTATAACATGGTAAAAAGGATTAGGGAAATGATCAGATTAAGGTCAGAAAATGGTCAGATTTAAGGCAGAAAAGGGTTAAGATTTAGATCGGAAAATGGTCAGAAACTGGTTAGATTTTGGTCGGAAAATTGTCAGATTGAGGTCGGAAAATGGTCAAAAACTGGTTAGATAACGGTCAGATTTTGGCCGGAAAATGGTCAGATTTTGGTTATAAAATGGTTAGATGATGGTTAGATTCTGACGTCTTCCTGACGTCAGATTATTACGTCAAAAAACTTTCAAATCCAACCTTTTTTCCGACCGTCATCCGACATCAGAACCTGACTTAAATCTGACGTCAGTGTGACGTCTTGTGTTTGCTGGGATGGGTTTACACTTAAGTTATCGTCATAAAATCAAGCGATCCGTGCTTAAAATCCACAAGTAATGGATCACTTATCCCCTGTTAATTTTGAGTCATCGATTAGAGATCAATGGCTACTAGACTTAATATGTGAGATCAGTTGTGATGGAGAAATTTTGCTTTGCCAGGGGATCAAACCAGCACCCCCTCTATTATAAATCAAATTTTATTTCTAATAATTTAGCGGTAACCGTTGATGAAAAGGTTGTTAAAACTTATTTGTTGACGAAGGTTTAATAAAATCAAAATATTTCATAGGAATTGTTTTATTCAAGTCTTTCTGAAACATATTGCAAGAAATAGACACATACAGAAAAAGTAAACTGTGTGAACAGGAATCCGAAGAGAAAACCTAAAAAACACGTTAAATAACTATCATATTGCAAGTGGTCCTTCGAACTTATTCTGTTATAAGAAGTCACTAACAAATTAGACGCTCGTATTTCAACAAAAATGTAATGAATTCTGTACATAAATCAGACTCGTCAAATTTATTTAATAAATACGATTGCGCATTTAATATCTAACACAATTTGAGAAAAAAGATTGCCACACTAAATATTGATTACATTTAATGTCCATTGCATAATAAAGGTAATGCTTATATAGTGCTACTTGACAAAAGTATATTCAGCAGCTAATTTTATTATGTATATAAAAACAAGCATACAAAAGCATTACATAGACGTTTACATTCCTAGCTATTTAAAGTACATTTGTATGTAATATTTATGAATAGCTGGCGTCAATGTTTGCAGACTCATTCAACATTCAAAGAGATTTTTCTGAAAGAAAACATTTTACATATTGTTTTAATCGTTATATGGCAATGCATAAAATATAGTATGAAATGAATAGAAATGAAGTGAATGTTTTTTTTAATAGTTCGCAATGTATGAACACTTATTCTATCCAATTATATTCAAATCAATATTTACCTTCTTGTTTCCTATTTGGTATTAAATGTTTTGTATGTAAAATTTCAAACATCTAATAAGGTATCAATTTCTTTCAAAGTATCAAACCCAGAAGAGCTTTTCAAAAAATTTAAAGCATAACGAAAAAATTACAAATTACTATTTTGTGATTTTTGTACATGCCAGATAAAAAAACATCTGCATTCCGACAACAATTGCTAAAATAAAACTATATAATTTGTTTTAAATAATTTTGTAGTGTTGAACCATACTTACCTTTTTTTGCAAATAAATGGACACTTGCTTGAACAAGTTATGTCATGCCACCGATAGTAATTAGTACCAATATACGCAACGCAATTTTCTCTTGTGCGCCCTTGTGGCTCATCTAAAAGATTGAGTTTTAAATTATTTTCCCCTTAATAATTTAGAAAATTAATAAAACAGACTTCGTTGTGCTTCGTAACAAGTTTTGTCTTACAACTGAATAACCGTTGTTTGTTGTATTGATAATAAACAAATTAGAAAACATTTTATCTGAGACAAATCATACATTTTCTATAGAAAATAAAACTCGGTAAATCACACTTACTGGGTGCCCATTTAATAAATCTTGCCGGAACATTTGTGTCTATCCATTTCCAATTTCCTTCTGTACTTTGGTCGGTTAGTCCATTCAACCAGTTGTTGTTTGCTATTTAATAATAATTGTTTAAAGAAATAACCTTTACATTGTACAAATATTCTATTAAGTATTTGCATTTGATTCATAAAAACCATAAATTATTTCATTGATTACCATTAAATACCATTAATAAATGAATGAATGAATGAATGAATCATCCTTTAATTAATTTATTTGATGACAGTTTTCTTAATTTTCACAGATTACAAAACGCATCTTAACGTAATTTGTAACTTATTTATTTACCATGCGATGTTTCCCGCTCTTAACTTATTTTAATATAATTTAATGATATTATGGATCAAACATTCGTGTTTTTTTTTTATCAATTCACATGCATGTAAATGTAAGTTCATGTGTTCAATTTAATTCTAATGATATAAAATAATATAAAACGAGGAATAAAATATCATTTAACGAGTATTTACTGGCAATTATGAAAAAAAAAATTAAAAGGCAATGATTATTGGTATTAAATTAGAGAAAATATATTTCTCACATTTAAAACGACCGAGCATTTTAACGATGAAGGAGTTTTCTGTGTCGTCTTCTACGTACAAAAGGTTAGCAGCCTTTTGTTTGCAGTATTGCTGAAAGAATACATCGTTTGAAAATAATAGTTAAATACTGTTACTTTTCCATGAATATAGTCATTTTTATGAAAAATTTTGTATTAGGTATTTGTTTATCTAACATCAAAAGTGCTTGGTTTTTTTCCTTAAAATTCCATTAACTTTATCTAACATTTATGTCTTTAATTATATGCTCTAAAGTACTACACTGTTTGAATTGAAAAGAAAAACAACAACAACAAAAAAAAAAACATTTCAGTTTACAGTTATGATACTTGCCCTTGCTTCTTCAAAAGTTGCTGATTTAATATTCTCAAAAAAGTAACAAGAATTGTTGAAGGAAACCCATTCATCACCGCATGAGCTGTCAGGGCATCTCGTTTTTATCACTTCTATAAAAAAAAGTCAATGGAATGTTTACACAAAAGCAGTAAGCAACTAACGATTAGTTTCTTTTGTATCAATACGCGTTTGCTTATATGCAATTTCAGATTAATAAATATCAATAAAGATAAAAATGTTTGCAGACTATTTTTTAAAAATAATATTTTTCAATATAACTTTTAATAATTAATAATTAATGATAAATCAAACCTTTGACGTTCTCTCTCAAAGATTGTATCCTTTTCTCAACATCTTTAACAAGGTTCCCTAACATGTAAAAATCATATTCTGTCTCGTTAAGGCAAACATCGTTTGCTTTAACAGATGTGACACATCCACAGACTATAAGCGCGCGTACAAAAATTATCTTCATTTTCTTTTAAGTGTGTATGCGTTTTCGGCAGACTCACGCGATTTCAAATGAATTTCAACACTCAATGCAGACTGTAGTTTTTCCCTATATCTTAAGAGGCGTAAGATGTTTATGTCATCCACTGCATGAGCATGCGTGACATTTTGAAGGTTTCCACATGACCAATGAAAATACTCCGTACCAACTAAAGGGGAGCAACCTGCTGCACCCTTACTTTCATTATTTGATATATCGAAAAAAGGTTCGTTAAAGTTTCAAATAATGATTTGATTGAACAGTTATTACAAATGATAATTCAATTTTGTCATATCTAAATGCGCAATACAAAAAAAGAATATTCATTCATGTCGAATTAACTGCCGTTCAGTCGAGTAATTTTCACAAAAACCCAGCGGTCACATCTCTGATGACCTATACTGACGGTGACTTCGAGATTAAATATCTTAATCTCTTGGAGTCATTGAAGTGACAGCTTTATTTCCTTTAAGAGTCATCAATTTGCTACCATTTGGTACAAAGATTTTGTGATTTAGTGGAAAAATGATGGAGTTATGGAGTTCACATGAACATGAGCGGCGAGTTGCATACCTTTACTAAATATAGATTTATATATGTATCGTGTTTTTTTTTCTTTTGGTGAAGTGACCAATCAACGTTTGACAATTGTTCTCTTTTACAGTTGAATATCCGAAGTACAAATCAATTTTTCTTCATCTTCTTGGTGTGTGCTTGTTGTTTAATAATTAAGTTGCAAATTATTTATGTGAAAAAGTAGAACCTAATGCATAAATTCACACAGTAATGTTATGACTGAAATTCTGAAATGTTTGTCTGTTGCCACAAAGATTAAAAGGTCTGGCCGAAGCAAAATAAATTAGATAAGAAGTAAAAATGAAATGATTAGTATACTTACAAAGGCAGGGGTAAAGAAAGATATCTCCATTGCGCCGAGGATATGTTCATTTAAATACTGTTGCGAATTGCATTATATCAAATGATTTTGAGGACAAACTGTTCTCATATCTGTAATATCAAATGATAGTAATGAATAAACTGTTAAATATAATCAATACTTAGTTACGTATTGATTACTTATTGAAAAAGATTTAACTACACGATTAAACACAAGATTGCATATTAGCCTGGAATTTAGGTATAAAACCACTAAATGTTATAAAAAATATAGGCAAATAAGAACAAGAATCCTTCAAAAGCTATTGCAAATATTTGTGATTCATTTTAAAACAAACGTACTATTTTCACTTAGTTAATCTGTTTTGTAACTTAAATGTTAATTATGCGGCGTCTAACAATTTCTAAGACCTAAATAGTTTTCTTTCTTTTTAAATCTTTTTCTTTTCTTCCTATTCCTTTGTATGCCGAATTTTGCTTACTTGCTTTGCTTTAACTTTTAACTAGTCTTTATTGATTGCTCTGCTCTTTTCCACCAATATTGCAAATATACCTTTGCCGCTTTTGCGACTCCGTAAAATGGCATTGCACAGCCGTGCATATATTTTGACGCGACGTCATAAATTTGCGTTATACAAGCATAGTGTTAAGACGCGCTAAATTTTAGAGTAACACTTTAAGCGCGTCAGTGAAAAATGATTCTTTTTCACTTTGAACAGTCTTTATTTTGGGTATGTGATAAATAGAATATTATATTCGTGAAGGTTCATTACTAAATTTATTGAACTCGTTTGAATAAAATAATATTATGCCCGCCAGAGGCTCATATATTATAATTTTATTCAACTCGTTCAATAAATTCAATAATGAACCTGCATTCATTCAAAATCCTCTATTTCTATTTTTTCGTTATTTATATTCCTGTCTCTTCAAAATAACAAGTTGGTAGATAACTCGATACACTAAAGGAGAAGACTTTTATAAGACTATGTATTCCGTTCTAATCTTTCCCTTTGAATATTGCTTGAATTATATTTACCCGTATATTATGCTGGTAGGTATTAATTAGAAAAATAAACATGTTCAAATTTAATATTAATGGTGATACTTATATTACTAGTCTGGCGCATTTACCACTCGACCATCCCGCTACATAATCGCTAAGACGAGCTCGATTACTTCAATTCGAATGTTTCTGTTACCACATTCTAAAATTGTCTAAATTTTAAATGAATTTTATTGTGCAAGTTCTATTCTGGCTATATGAAAACTATCACTTTGCATATTCTGTTATATTAACAAAGGGAAAGAAAATATAGGTTTCGCGAAATGCAGAATAAAAATTGTTAAATTTTTATACATTTCTTTCTGTAAGCACTTTCAATGCTTTTTCATATCTTCAGACAGTAACGTATATAATTATTTTATATACTTCTTTCTCTTCAAATACAATTTTCCTCACAAATACCAATTTGCTCAAAATTGTAAATATTATATTTGTCACGTATACATTTTAAAAATATTTGAAATAAACAAGGCTTCACCACGTACATAATGGACAATGTGATACGTATCTATCTAATCTCTTTGTCTACGACATACCATCTGTCAAACTTGCTCGTTACAAATAAAGGTTTATATTTAACTTAGATGCGTAAGCAGATTGTTATTGTATATCAGGAAATTACATCAAAGTACCAGTGCTTTGAAAGACGACGAAATAAATTATCTTCCTTCACGCTGATGAAGAACGAAAACATATTTAAAACTTTTATAGCCATGTGAATTCTAACCGAACAAGATGAAAGTACAAAAAAGCTTTACATTGCCACACAAGTATACCAGAAATATATTAAACTGGTAGATTTCACGTCACCCACCTATAATTGCCTTGCCATGATTATGTTAAAGAAATGTTTAACGTTTTAGATATAGAACTACATGCACTATTTCTGTTACTGCAACGAAAAATTAGGGAAAACAATGAAAATGATGTATAATATACTTGAGACACAAACATTTACTCCTAATTGAATGATTTAAAGTCACATGAGCCGAATTAGACATAATATCCGCTTTAAATAAAGACTATGGATTCTATCTCAACAATGGAGCAAAACAAATAACAAATGTCCTCTAAATCAGTATTTAATAATTTACTATAATCCCAATCAACCTTCACACTTAATTATAAGTCTAATCTATTATTTTATTGTTATTAGACTAATCTATTATTTTTATTTATTATTTTATATTATATCTAGTAATTTTGTAGATAACGTGTTTTCCTTGGTACTGTGTTCCATGACATGGTTAATACGCATGATTGTATTTTATTTGATTATTTTCATATTTTTATGAGTACAATTAACTTTCTTATTATATACTTATAAGAATTATAGATATGGTATGTAAATTATCATATTGCACTCGTGAAATATTTATATCATACCACTCGATGAAAAATATCCTGTATTTATAGAAAAAAAACTTGAATATACTCTATTTATTACCATTCTATGCACTTTGATACTGCAATAAATCAATCTAGTGCAATAGAGTTCTATTTATCAGTAGATACTAAATATTGTAAATACAAACGATTAAATATAGTTTTCCGAAATGATAATTTATCAAAAAGATTGATACAAAAATTACATCATTGTATTTTGGTAAAAAAAAATATTAAAAAAATATCAAACAATAGTTTCTATTGTTACTTTATTGTACACAAATACATTTTAACTTCTCTGTATTTGGCTAAACTTCCTTCTTCCTCCATGTGTACCAATTTTATGACAGTGATCATGAAAGACACGTGTTGGTTATATTACTCATAGATTATCTGGTAGAGGAAAACCTCAGGCTCATCTTTCAATATTCCTGGCACGAGAGAGCACCTGACTAGAACGACTAATATTCCGTTCTACAGACAAAAAATAAATCAAAGACACTGGCGAAAGCCGTCCGGTTAGCTCAATAGGTAGATCGTTGGACTGTGAATCGGGCGGCCCGGGTTCGTTTCCGGACGGCGCAATTCACTTTCGTTATGGTTGAAATTATTTTATAAACATTTACTTGCAAAAGTGAAGGCAACTAGTACTGGTAAACTGCTTGACAGCCTGCCACGGAACGATTCAGCTCCGGTAAATTCAATGTGGCTTACAGACGTGATCCGTAGTGAAAACTACAAACACCACCACCACCAAATGCACTGGAACGATTCGAACCCAAAACGATAATTGAATAGTAGTTTGAGTTCAGCATCAAAGTGGATGCTTTGATAATGTTGGAAATCTTAAAGAGAGTGTATTATACACTGTTTGCAAGTATATTGACTAATGCACTTTAGTTTTTATATAAAATTGAATAATCAAATGTTTTAAATTGTGAAATGTTGGTAAGCATTTGTTTTTAAATTGAACAAAACTTAGGGGTGATGACCGAGATTTAAAACGTATTAACAGCTATATATATTAATATATCTTTAATTTTTTAAAAGGAATATAACATTCAAGTATCGAACAGACATAAAATGATTTTCGAAACTGTTATGCATAAGGAAGAAAACTTCTTAAAACAAATATGTAAGATAAAGAAATAAACAAGTCTTTTCTCACGTAAACAAAATAACCTGATATATCAACAAGAGAAAAACACCTCTCTGTCAACTAGATTAACAAAGACTTACAATGACGATGCGTCTTTACATTACAATAAAAAATGAAGAAACAATAAATTAGTATACAATCACTAGAGATAATACTGTCATACGTGGTATTTACATTACCAATATAAGGGTAAAAACAATGAGAATAAGGAAGTTAAAAGTAGTTTCAGAATTAAATGGGACACTTGAAATGCGTCGTATAATTGGTGTTGATGTAAATAGAACACAAAAATCAGTCAGTATTTTTGCAACTAGCTAAATGAAACAGTTCACCTTTTGCACTAACATCGCTTGAACAGCAAATACATTTAAATCTTTAGAATCTTCTTTAAATCATTTCAAAATTATTCCAAATGTAATCTTTAGGCTTTTACATATCTGACTATTCCTGTTTTAGAACCTACTCATAATTCAATTTGTCTAACTTCCTTTTCCTAACTCCCTTTTCCTGATCAAAGAAGCTTTTTAGTTTAGAAGAAATAAACAATATGTCTTATGATATTTTTAAATGCAACTTGATAATAAAAGTTTATTATCAAACTAATGAAAAT